GCATCGTTGTCTGAAGACAGAAGAGACCCGGATCGCTGAACAGGCTTGCTTAATTTTATCGATTTTCAATTTCTTTTTGATTGTATTTATTTAATAGAATTGATATTTTTGTTTAAAAGTTTAGATTAGGTGTTTTTTGGGGAGTTTGGGGGGTGGGGGAGCAGTTGGCTACAGCTGTGAGGGGGGTTAGGGGACAGTTTGTATCGGGTTTGCCTTTACAGTTCTTTGATTTCTGTTACTTAGTGATAATATATCTATAAATAAAGTTGTTTTAAAATTTAAAGTTGTATTTTGGGGGTTGGGGGTCAGTACTGTAACATACCATCAGACAGGACATACACCTACATCCCTCGGTTACAAACCCTGTGCATTGTGATTAGGACACCAAGGATGATGATGAAGAGAAAAGCACAACATTCTTCATCATCTGCAGAGGAGAGGGGAGACCAGTGAAAGAGATGGAAAGAAGGAACCAATAGAGAACACCCGCTCTTGAAATCTCTGTTGGGGTTCCCCGAAACATCTATACAAGACATAGAGGCCTTCTACAAGTTTACAGGTAAGTGTTGACTCTGCCTTTATGCCAGGAAACCTGTAATGAGATAAATACATAGGCTGCCATTGCTGAATGAATTCTGTAAATGATATTTGACTGTCATGCTGATCCAATGGTTTCTATACTTTCTAAGGCTAGGTTCACATATATGCAGGTTGCAGTTGGTATGTCTTTTTGGCCCATTTTGCAGTGCATTTAGCATTTTTAAACGCGTTTTTGATGAGGTTTTTTTTTATGTTTGGTATTTTGTTGGCCAATAGGAAAGTATGACAGTTCTGTTCATGTGCTGTGACTTTGATGCAATTTTAAACTCTCTGGCACTCAAGTAGCATCAAAGTCACATCAAAGTCACACTACATGAACAGAACTGTCATACTTTCCTATTAGCAGCAAAAAAAAAAAAAAAAGCAAAATGAATAAAAAGCGCAACACTTGTGTTTTTGGTGTGGGTTCAATGAAGTCTATTACACGCAAAACGCAATCTACTGCAGGAAAAAAATGTCCCTGACGCTTTAAGAAAAAAAAAACCACCAGCTCAAAACGCACAGATGTGAATTAGATCCATAGGAAGCCATGTTAAATGGACTGTAGTGTGTTTTTGCAAACTGGATAACGCACTGAAATCTGCATAAGTGTGAGCCTGGGGTAAGTCAATGACCTGCAGCAAGTGTTCAGGTTGAAGATGAGTTTTGCAGCTTAGGCTATTTATTTTTTTACACCTGATGGGGGAACAGGAAAAAAATAACTGGGCTTTACCAATCTCAATTGCTCTCCCCTGAAGTCACATGAAAAGCCACATTCAATCTTCCTGCTGTTCAATTAACTTTTATCACGTGAAATGCATCTTAGCTCATCTCTGGGTCCATCTACTAGACAGCAGGGAAAGTGAGTGTAACGCTTTGTTCTACACCCGCCCAGCAAATTTAGCTTTGTTCTGCCCAAGACACCGCATGCCAGGTCCTTCACCACCATCTTCATTGGTCACATCATCTTTATTATTATTATTATTTATTATTATACAGGATTTATATAGCGCCAACAGTTTAGCACTTTACAAAATGAAGGTAGACATTACACTTACAATACAATTTGGTACAAGAGGAAACAGAGGGCCCTGCTCGTTAAAGCTTACAATCTGGCAGGAAGGGTTGAGTGATACAAAAGGTAATAGCTGTGGGGGGGATGAGCTGATGGAGGAAATAAATGGCGGTTTACTAGGTAGAAGCAGGATAGACTTCTTTAAAGAGAAAGGTTTTCAGGGATCGTCTAAAGGTGGATAGATTTGGAGACAGCTGGACAGATTGGGGTAGAGAGTTCCATAGGATGGGAGAAACTCAGGAGAAGTTCTGGAGACGAGCATGGGTGAAGGTGACACAGGAACTAGAGAGCAGAAGGTCTTCTGGGAACTGGCTGTATTTTCTGAGTCCAAACCAGCGGGGGACCCCAGAAGAGGAGGACTGGGGCTGCTCTGTGCAAGACCATTGCACAGGAGCAGGTAAGTATAATATGTTTGTTATTTTTATTTTTTTTAAAAATGAAGGTTTAATGTTACTTCAAGTATTGCATTTATTATACAGGTCTACACATCTGTCCAAAAAGAGGGGCACCTATGGAGGAACACAGGACAGATGGATTTGGTTCCAAAAGAGGGACTACTGGGAGGTAAAAGAAACAAACAAATCCAGCTGGAATGTCCTGGAAAATGGGAACCATAATCACACATAGGGACAAACACTTACATTTCGATGTATAACAGAATTAAATAAATTACAAATTTAAAAGGTTCATAAAGTATATTACTGACAACTCAGTCAGTCAGTGCGGTCCCTGCAGCAGAAAAAGCACCAAACAAGTTCATGACCAAAGTATCAATACTATGGTTCAAATGGAAGCTGCCTAGAAGGGACCCAAGTGCCATGTCAAAATGTTAAATAATTGAATAAATATGTACAAAAATCTCATAGGAGACTATGAGAGCAGTGGGAGCCATAGGTCCATGCTGGTGTCAGTCAAACTCCTATGAGGAGGGAGCTGGGGGCATCGCTTACCAGCACTCTGTGTGCCTATGGACACACACAGCCTTGTTTGGGAGCGTGCCGACATGGGTAGCCCTTGCTAAGGGGGCGCTCAGAGTTAAAGTGGTAGATAGGGTGAAGATGGAAGCCTCTGCAGTGATGACAGCACACCGCTGGACAGCTTCATTTTAAGGTAAGTCCTTCATAATGAGCTAGTATGCGATTTATGGGTAAAAGCAATCAGTGTAAAAAAAAATCTTCATCACCCCCCCACAAGTAGTACAGTGTCACTATGGTGACACTGTACTGCTAGGGTGACAGTATGTTAAAAAAAAAAACCATACATAATAATATAAAAAAGTAAAAATTTAAAAAAAAAAATTTTAAATTATAATTTTTTAGTTATAACCTAATTTGGGTTATTTTTATTTTACTAAAAACATAGCTGAATACATTTTGGTCAAGATTTGTGAAGAAAGATTATTTATTTGAAAAATTTGATAAGAAAAACACTTTTTTTCAAACTTTTTGGACATTTTCATTTATATAGCAAGAAAAAAAATCCCAGTGGTGAATAAATACCACCAAAATAAAGTTTTATACGTCTCCAAAAAATGCTAAAAATTTCATATGGGTACAGTGTTGCATGACCGCGCAATTGTCATTCAAAGTGTGATAGCCCTGAAAGCTGAAAATTGGCCTGGACTGGAAGGGAGTAAAAGTGTCCGGACTGGAAGTGGTTAATATGTATTTAAAGTTGTTCCAAAGCCAATATGGTTGTGACCTTAGTGCACTCTCTGCATTAAGGTATGAAGCTCCCCACTATTTGTTCTGCCCCTAAACACTTAGATGACTTTTGTCACCACTCCAGCAGTGTCCCGTCTGCAGCACCACTCCTTTGACTTCCTAGTCTCACAAGAGACATTGAGAGCAGTGGGAGCACTAGCCTCCTGCTGCTGTCAATTAAGCTCCAGTGAGAAGGAAGCGAGGGCATGGCTTACCGGTGTGTCTATAGATGCATACAGTCTGGCTCAGGAGCACACCCACTTGAGTGCCCCTATAGTGCACCGCTTGCTAAGGGGGCACTCGAATGAAGGAGTGCACAGCGTCAATATGGGACTGCCAATATTCTTGCACAAAGCAGATAAATATAACCTCTTTTTTATTTTAATTTAAAAAACAATAGCCTTTAATAGAACTTTAAGTTTAAACTGATGACCTGTGGAGGCTTTTAAAATGTCACCTAGGGAAAATTTAGGGAACTGAAGTTTGTTGTTTGCAATTTTTAGGCTTGACATGTAGAGTATTATATTCTGTGCACCACACTAAACATTATTTCATTTTTCATCTAAAGGCATAAAATCAATCAACCCGGAAATCTCCAAACCATTTCCACCAGAAAAGAAAGAAGAGATCTTCAAGTTAAAGCTGTACGCACAGATGGACAGGATGATGGAGTCCTTCGTTGTCAAATCGGGAAGACCAAGATTTTTTGAAAGAAGAGAAGAAGAACATCAGATTGCAAAGCAGTATGGATATGTGCCGAGGTGAAGACAGGACTGACATTTCTTTACAGACACACATTGGTCAACACACATTGACTGGCATACATTGACCTACACTAACAGAGAGACGTCCACTTGTACATAAACTGACTGCTACATACTTTAGAGAGATGACAACCAAATGAGGAGAGAGTAGATCGCACACACAGATTATAGGATGAGGCCTGCTACAAACATACACCCAACATTAGAAAAACGATGACTAGCATCGAGTAGGGTAGCTTAGTGTAGCTTAGTGTAGGTCCTGCCCTAGGAGAGTCTACCTTGTCGTGGTGGGCAGGCTTGACATCTGTTGGTCAAAAGTGTGTCAGTGAATGCAGAGAGGATCGCTAGATCTCCACTTTTGGCCAATTGATTTCACCAAAGGACTCTCTGTTTAATCAGAGTACATGAAGACAATTTAAAGGTTTATACTTTCATAAACATACAATAAACAAAATTGGTATAGTTCCATTTTCATTGCTTCCTCTTGTTTTTAGTTATCCCTTTCATGACCAGAGGTTATCAAAACTTGCACATACAGGCCACATTTAGCAGTTTTAGTTCTAGTATGCATTAGCTAACCTAGTAAATTATGCACGTTTGTGAAAGGCAATTAATGAAGATATCCAAAATTGCTAATAGGCAACCCATAAATTAAAATAACAGCCCTAAAATGTTTCTTCCACTTCTGGTGAGTGTAGGGACGTGTAATAGGTGTTTAGATATGTACATATGTCCTAACCATGTATTGATGTATGTATGCCCTGACAAGCCCCCAATTTGATAGTAGTGACAAGGTCCTCTTTATGGAGACATCAGGGGTCTATTAGCTTCACCCCAAGAATTGGATATAAGTTTGAATCCTGTGATGAACCAATCCCTTCCATACAGGGCATTTTACCCCCTTCCTGCCCAGGCCAATTTTCAGGTTTCAGCGCTCACACACTGTGAATGACAATTGCGCGGTCAACATTGTACTTTGTACCCAAACTAAAAATTTATCATTTTCTTCACACAACTAGAGCTTTGTTTTGGTGGTATTTAATCACTACTGGGGTTTTTTTTTTTATTTTCTGCTAAATTAACAAAAACAGACCAACAATTTTGAAAAAAAAACACGTTTTTCTTTGTTTCTGTTATAAAGTTTGCAAATAAATAATTGTTATTCATAAATTTAGGCCAAGATGTATTCTGCTACATTTCTTTGGAGAAAATAACCCAAATTAGGATGTATTATAGGATATATGTATTATTTTTAAATGTTTTATTACTTTTTTTCTCTCTTTTTTTAAATATTTTTTTCATATTTCACTATGACCAAAGTAGTATAATGTTACCATAGTAACATTGTACTACTTTTGGGAAGTGATCAGTATTTTTTTTTTTTTACACAATTTGCTTATAGCAAAGAATTACTTATTATAGCAAAGGCTACGTTCACACTAACTATATCAGAAGGCGTCAGACAGGTGTTGAAAATTCTGCACATGGCAGCACACAGTGCTGTTCACACTGAAGCGTTAGCGTCGCGTTTGCGTCAAGGCAAAACGGATGCCTCATGTCGAGTCAGGCGGAGTGTAAGCCTCTCATTCAAGTCTATGGTTCCACTCCTCAAACACCTGGCAGGCGTTTGCAGGGCGCTTGCAAGGCGGTTGCAGAGCGTTGAAACCATTTAACTTCATTATAGGCATCTGTGGTGCGGTTTTAACTCTTGGCCTCAAAACCGTGCATAGGGCGTTTGGAGAGCGTTTGAGGAACATTAAAAACGCTTCCCAAACGCCTGTCTAACGCCTGTCAAATGCTATGGAGGCGTTTGGCAAGAGTTAGAAATAAAGCAAGTGTGAACGAGCCCTTACTGGCCATTTTTTTTTATTCTGTTGCTGTATCTTGCACTTTTTTGCTGTAGTCGATTATGACTTGGCCTGTAATCTGTTAGAAATTGTGTATATAGGCCTACAGAGCAGACAGTGCCCAGTCCACATGTGCTTTTCTGCTTCACCGCAACAAGGAAACAGGAAACTTTATTCAGAGAAAAGACCTAGAATATACCATAGACAGAGCTAAAAAAAACTTATAAACACTGCCATCTACTGGTTGAAGAATATATCTCTACTGAGTACTGATGTAGTTGTTGCACAAAATACATGAACACTGTATTCCAACAGCTTCACAACAAAAAAGGGACATTCACTGTTATCACCCATGTAGCCCCCATATAGAGGCACGGTGCAGACTAAAACATGGTAAGTCAGTAATGGGGGACAGATCAGCTGCAGAAGACCACTCTAGTCATTTGCTCTCTACTTCCTTTTAATTGGCATGCTTCTCCAGTCCAGATCTTCTTTATATATGTGTGATAAAGTTTTCTATATCTTTTTGCTGCTTATTTTTTGAGAATGTGACCTGAAAACTAAGGTTTCCACTTGACCAGTATTTTACCCGTCGGGCTATTAAAAATGGGGTGTGTCCCTAATGTTAGTCCCCAATTTTGGGTGTGGCCAGCTTTATTGCTGATCTCACATGGCAATACTATATGGTGGCCCCAGTCCTTCCTCTCCTGACTTGTGCAGACTTCATTTGTGGTCAGTAGGGTTGTGTGAATTATTTGTTGCCTTGCCATTGCTTGTGACGGTGACTTGCAATGCACACCTGGGTCAGCACTCTTGACTCAGAGCAAAGTTTGGCCTAGGTGTCATTATATCATACCCTCTTAGGCCCCTCCCACTGTTAGCATGGTCACAACCAACATTTAGTGTGGCGTGCTTTGCATTCTGTTATGTTCCCAACCTCTGCTCCACCCCCAATAAAAGCAATAGGATGTTACCTGGATTTCATTTTTGAAAAATCTAGTCAACTTACCATGAGGTCAGTGGTGTATTTTGGTTTTGTACTGCCCTAGGCAAGACTAAAATTGGGCCCCCCCCGTATCTAAATGTGTCCCACCCCTTCTTGTTTAAGGTACACCCCTTTGTAAAGTTCACCCCTTCCTCTTTAGGCTCCATATCTTCCTATTAGAGCTCCACCTACTAACAACAATGATGGGGCACTATTCTTTCCACTGACAAAAACGGTGGGACACAATTCCTCCCACTGACACCAATGATGGGGCACTATTCCTTCCACTGACAACAATGGTGGGGCACTATTCCTCCCACAGTAGGTGGAATAGTGCCCCATCATCAGTGTCAGTGAAGGAATAGTGTACCATCATTGGTGACAGTGGGAGGAATAGTACCCCATCATTGGTGTCAGTGGGAGGAATAGTGCCCCATCATTGGTGTCATGGGGGGGGGGGAATAGTACCCCATCATTGGTGTCAGTGGGAGGAATAGTGCCCCATCATTGGTGTCAGTCTGGGAGGAATATTGCCCATTGTTGATGTAAGTGGAAAGATTAGTGCCTGATCATTTGTGTCAGTGTGGGAGGAATAGTGTTCCATCATTGGTGTCAGTGTGGGAGGAATAGTGCCCCAACATTGGTGTCAGTGTGGGAGGAATAGTGCCCCATCATTGGTGTCAGTGTGGAAGGAATAGTGCCCCATCATTGGTGTCAGTGGGAGGAATAGTGCCCCATCATTGGTGTCAGTGGGAGTAATAGTGCCCCATCATTGGTGTCAGTGGGAGTAATAGTGCCTCATCATTGTTGTCAGTGGGAGGAATAGTGCCCCATCATTGGTGTGAGTGGGAGGAATAGTGCCCCCATCATTGGTGTCAGTGGGAGTAATAGTGCCCCATCATTGGTGTCAGTATGAGAGTAATAGTGCCCCATCATTGGTGTCAGTGGGAGGAATAGTTCCCCCATTATTGGTGTCAGTGGAAGGAATAGTGCCCCCCATCATTGGTGTCAGTGTGGGAGGAATAGTGCCCCAACATTGGTGTCAGTGTGGGAGGAGGTTCTCAGCGAGTGTCCGACCCATCCAGGAGCAGCACAGGGCTCTGCCTGCGATCACCTTCTACAGGATCACCCAATCACAGCGATATATCAGTAGCAGACACTGACGAACAACAATTAGGAGACATAAATAGTAATAAATTCAAGGTGGATATCTCTGGGTTTACAGTCAAAATCACTTGCCCTTCAGATGCAAGGAAGCTGACAAAAAAGGGTAGTCTCAAAGAACTTTTCTACTAATGGAGGATATACGTACAATCGGTTTTCAGCAGATGATAATGGGGATATGTGTGTGACAGTAAGCATCACTTACTTAAAGGCACATGCCGTCCATTACCCATAGAGCCAGTTAAAGGAGAGACCGAGGATCATCAGCAGTACTAAGCGGGTTGAGGAATACCTGGCCAGACCAGATCCAAGTCTTTAGGAGTCATCAGCGGATCCAGTAGAGAAATTTGTCTCTAAATGCGCAGTTACACTGTGCATCTGGTGAGTGCACAGCCTTCACTTTTTTCATTATCACGGCTTGGAAGAAGCACTCTGAAGGAGAGGGATTTTCATCTCCCACGTTTTCAGTAAGACTGCTATTTTGCACTGCTTGTCACTCTGTTAGTGACGGAATACATGTGATCACACAAGTCACTTGATTTATGCTCACCATATATTTGCATTGACTATATTTGCACCTTGGTCATTAGACACTTTGTGATATGGTTTATAAGTATTAATATCTTGGATTTAGCGCCGCATATTTTTATACTTTGAGTTTTGCAAGCTTATTTGGTATCCTTTTTGATGCTGTGGCTGCTTCTTTGTTTTTAGCGCTCACAATTTTTATTAGAGTGGGAGGAATAGTGCCCCATCATTGGTGTCAGTGTGGGAGGAATAGTGCCCCATCATTGGTATCAGTGGGGGGAATAGTGCTCCATCATTGGTGTCAGTGGAAGGAATAGTGCCCCATCATTGGTGTCAGTGGGAGGAATAGTGCCCCATCATTGGTATCAGTGGGAAGAATAGTACCCCCATCATTGGTGTCAGTGGGAGGAATAATGTTCCCCCATTATTGGTGTCAGTGGGGGGAATAGTGCCCCATCATTGGTGTCAGTGGAAGGAATAGTGCCCCATCATTGGTGTCAGTGTGGGAGGAATAGTGCCCCATTATTGGTGTCAGTGGAAGGAATAGTGCCCCATCATTGGTGTTAGTGTGGGAGGAATAGTGCCCCATCATTGGTGTCAGTGGGAGGAATAGTGCCCCAACATTGGTGTCAGTGTGGGAGGAATAGTAGTGCCCCATCATTAGTGTCAGTAGGAGGAATAGTGCCCCATCATTGGTGTCAGTGTGGGAGGAATAGTGCCCCATAATTGGTGTCAGTGGAAAGAATAGTGTCCCATCATTGGTGTCAGTGGGAGGAATAGTGCCCCATCATCATTGGTGTCAGTGTGAGATTAATAGTGCCCCCATCATTGGTGTCAGTGGGAGGAATAGTTCCCCCCATTATTGGTGTCAGTGGGAGGAATAGTGCCCCATCACTGGTGTCAGTGTGTGAGGAATAGTGCCCCATCAGTGGTGTCAGAGGAAGGAATAGTACCCCATCATTGGTGTCAGTGTAGGAGGAATAAAGCCTCATCAGTGGTGTCAGTGTGTGGGGGGAATAGTGCCCCATCATTAGTGTCAGTGGGAGGAATAGTGCCCCATCATAGGTGTCAGTGGGAGGAATAGTGCCCCATCATTGTTGTCAGTGTGGGAGGAATAGTGCCCCATCATTGGTGTCAGTGGGAGGAATAGTGCCCCATCATTGGTGTCAGTGTGGGAGGAATAGTGCCCCATAATTGGTGTCAGTGGAAGGAATAGTGCCCCATCATTGGTGTCAGTGGGAAGAATAGTACCCCATCATTGGTGTCAGTGGGAGGAATAGTTCCCCATTATTGGTGTCAGTGGGTGGAATAGTGCCCCATCATTGGTGTCAGTGGAAGGAATAGTGCCCCATCATTGGTGTCAGTGTGGGAGGAATAGTGCCCCATCATTGGTGTCAGTGGAAGGAATAGTGCCCCATCATTGGTGTTAGTGTGGGCAGAATAGTGCCCCATCATTGGTGTGTCAGTGTGGGAGGAATAGTGCCCCAACATTGGTGTAAGTGTGGGAGGAATAGTGCCCCATCATTAGTGTCAGTGGGAGGAATAGTGCCCCATCATTGTTGTCAGTGTGGGAGGAATAGTGCCCCATAATTGGTGTCAGTGGAAAGAATAGTGCCCCATCATTGGTGTCAGTGTGTGAGAGTAATAGTGCCCCATCAT